CGTGACGGTCGCGGCGTTTCAGCGTCTCGTGGCCTCTGCGGCGCCCGAGCCCGCGATGTCGGGCCCCAATATGGGAATGCCGGTGGTACCGAGCACGGAAGACGAGGATGACAGCTTCGGGGAAGCAGGTGACGCGGGGGGACTGCTGAGCGACCGTTGCTTTCTCCGGGTACCTTCCTGGGGAGGGGGGGGCCCCGGACAGGTGTGTGGAAGGAAGGAGCCCTCCCATCCCCCGCTCCTGGGTGGGTTGCAGGTTCCTGGCACCTGCCAGTGGGTGTCTGGAAACCCCAGCATTCGAGAACTGTGGGCCTCGGGCCCCATTTTGCAGAAACTGAGGCCGCTTTAGAGACACCCGCGCTTTGAGGGTTTGCTCCAGTGCTGAGCTCGGCCCCTGTGGGGACGGCGGGCCGCTCTGGCCCAGCCCAAGGGCTGTCCGGGTGGGCGCGCGCCTTGCTAAGTCAGCAGCCCCAGCCATCTTTTCTGGTGCGGCCTGGAGCCCTGAATGTGACTTGTTTACAAAGCAGCCTGTGGTGTGCACGGCACTGCGGTGGATGGAAGGTGGGTGAGGTGTGGAGAGAGAACCGTCAGCTCCCTTCTCACCCTCGGAAGCCTGTTTCCTCATCTGTAAAATAACAATGATTAGTGCCTCAGGCATTGAGATGTGTCAGGATTGAATGGGAAAATGAATGAGAAATACTCAGTAGGTTCCAAATGCAAGTGTTCAGTAAATGGTTATTATTATTATTCTCTTTAGTGTAATAAAGATTGGGTTATTAGAGTGCAGGACTTAGTAAATGTAGGGTGTGGAGTCTGCGTTTTGTTTTAGTAACAGCTTTATTGAGCTATAATTCATATACTATACAACTCATCCATTTAAATTGTACAATTCAGTGGGTTTCACAGTATCCAGCGTGTGCATCCATCACCTCAATAGTTTTATTTTTTTAATATTTTTTTATTGATTTCAGAGAGGAAGGGAGAGGGAGAGAGTGACAGAAACCTCAATGATGAGAAAGAATCATTGATCGGCTGCCTCCTGCACGCCCCCTACTGGGGATCAAGCCTGCAACCTGGGCATGTGCCCTTAACTGGAATTGAACCCTGGACCCTTCAGCCTGCAGGCTGACGCTCTATCCACTGAGCCACACCAGCGAGGGCATCACCTCAATAGTTTTACAACACTCCCATCACCCAGGGCCTGCGTTTAATAGAGGTAGACCTCCCACGGGAAGCGTGGTGAGCTGGCCGCTTTGCCCTGAACGGTGGCCAGATGTGTGTGTTAAGCTGCATCAGGACGGGCCTCCCAGGAGTCACATTGAGTGGTCGCTGGCCAGTTCACAGCACTGAGCACTGTGGGGTGGAGGGAGGCACCCTTGACACGGATAGAGCCCGGCCCCAGTGTTGTGGAGACACCGCCTCCCCCATCCCTCCCTGGCTGTGTCTCTCGACACAGAATGTGCAACGTTGATAATAATGACCAAGTGTTAAGTACTTGCTGCGGCCAGACCCTGTCTGAGTTCTTGATATACTTGAGTCCTCACAGCCACCAGGACTGTCTCTCCCTTTTCCAGAAAAGTTGCAGCAACTTCCTGGGATGGAGCAGAGCTGGGGCTGAAGCCCAGGTGCCCCACTTCCCAGGTCTGCATCTTGGCTCTGGCCTCCGACTGGCTGGAGGACCCTGCGCAAGTCCTTTCCTTCCTGGCCTCAGTTTCCCCACCTGTACCACAAGGTGGTTGGACTGTAAAGCCCAGCAGAGACTTCCCAGGCCTCTGGCCTCTGAGGTGTGCCAACTCTGGGTGATGGGTGCTCTTCCTCCAGAATGCAGACACATTTGCATCCATATCCCAGACACCCTCCAGCGCTGGCCTTTTCCAAACACTGCCAGCCACTTCCCCTTGGTCCCAAGCTGGCAGCAGAGTGTATCTGAGTCATGGGCTGGCTCAGAACCGGCTCCCGCAGTGGGCACGGGCCCAGACCTTGGGCTCTAAGGGACATTGTGCTGCTGGGTGCAGGTCAGGAGTGGTTGGGGAGGAGGGAGTGATGATTTCTGGTGGAGATCAGGGAAGGCTTCTCAGAAGAGGTGTTTTGAGCTAGTTGTTAAATGGCTGTTGTTGAGGTATTCTGGGTGGCAGGGACAGTCGAGCAAAGGCAGAAGGACTGGAAAGTTAGAGGCTTCATTCATTCATCTCTTCATTCACTCACTCAACAAATGTTCATTGTGTGTCGGTGAGGGCCTCGGGGAAACGGCAGTGAACGCGAGACCATTCCACTTCTCACGGAGCTCTGTGGTCTGGTCGGGGAGGCAGACCAGCACAGATAATCACATCCGGAGGGAGGGCCCCGAGGTGTGCGGAAGGGGATCGGGCATAGAGGCCTGATCTCGTCTGGGGTGCTGGGAGGGCTTCCTGTGGTGACAGCCATGCTGAGACTTGAAGCATGAGTAGGACTCATCCAGGAGAGGAGGGAGGGAGACAGGAGGGGGGTACGGTGCACTCCAGGCAGAGGCAACAGCGTGTTCAAGGGGCCTGAGGTGGGCAAAGGCAGATGTGAGAGGAGAGTGGGGTCTTGGAATCTGGGTGCCTTATCGTGGGGGCAAAGGCCATGGGAGAGCTGGCAGGATGGGCTTGCCTGGGGACAGGCCTGGATTGCCCCACTCAGGAATGTGGGCTCTGGCCTCTCGGCAGGTGAAGGAGTGGACAGGAGATTGGTATCTGGCAGGACTTCCCAGGCAGGACCCTGGCTGAGCCTGGTGTGCTAAGGTATTCTCTCTCCAAAGCCTTCCCTCTTTTCATATCCACCCACTTTCCCCACAGTGACACGGAGGCTCAGGAAGGAGTACGGACTTGCCAAAGCCCTTCTGGAGTCAGGCTGGGGGTGGTGGTTGGGGGTGGGGGTGTCTGAGCGCTGAGGAGACTTGGGATCTTGGCTCTTGCCCTTCCTCCAGAATACGCTGCCATCAACTCCATGTTGGACCAGATCAACTCCTGCCTGGACCACCTGGAAGAGCAGAACGACCACCTCCACGCCCGCCTCCAGGAGCTGCTGGAGTCCAACCGGCAGACGCGCCTGGAGTTCCAGCAGCAGCTGGGGGAGGACCCCGACGACGATGACTACGACTACGACTACGACGCCAGCACTTAGGCTCCAGGAGCCTCCAGGCAGCCCTCACCCTGCCTCCAGGGCCAGGCTCCAGCCTGGGCACTCACCACCTGATTAGATGCCTTCTCAAGGGCTGGCCTACAGGTCCCCTGGCGGCTCTGCCTGCCTGAGCCGCTCTTCACATTCTCCCCTCGGCGTGGATGGGCCACCTCCCACCACCCAGCCTTCCCTCCTGGCGTCAGGTGTGGGCCTGCAACCCTCCCACCTTGCCTGCCTGTCCCACTCCTGGGCTCTCTCCGCTCTGCCCAGGCCTTGAATGTCCACATTAAACGTGTCTGCAGTCGCACTGCGCCTCTGACTGGATCCTGGATGAGAACCCCGGGGGCCGACAGGTGAACAGAGCAGTCAGGGCGTTCCGGGCCTTGCTCATGGGCCTGGAGGGGGGGTGGGGGTTCCTGTTTTCTTTATTTCTGGATACCAGGTACAGGTGAGGTCGGGACTTCCTCCCCCGCTGGAATGCTCCTGGCCGGCAGGGCTTCCCCGCCAGGTTGAGACAGCACTGGACATGCTGTGTGACCCCGTGGGACGCACTTAGCTCCTCTGGGTACTAGGGCTTTCACTGACAACCGACACCCAGGCATGCCATGCCAGCTTGGGCACCACCTCCTGCTCTTGGCCTCATCTCCCCAGCTGGCCAACAGTACGGTTGGTCTGGTTGTCTGATCCGTAAGGGTCTTTCCAAATGGGGAAATAGCAGAACTAAAGATCCAACTCAGCCTGGGCTCCAGTCACTGACGATTCACCGCAGGTCACTTGACGAGAAGGCAGGGTCACCGTTAGTGCACCACGAACTCGGAACCGGAGGATCAGCAAGGGCCCCCCTTCCTGTACTTCCCCTTCCACAGAATCCGGCTGGAGAGAGCTGGGGCCCAGCGCTCAGGCCTGGAGTCAAATCCTGGCCACTCACCAGGTGTATGGCCTTCAGCAAGTCACTTGACCTTGCCAGGCCTTAGTTTCTTCATCTATAATTTGGGGGTGATAAGACCACCCTCCGAGAGTCACTGTGAAGATCAAATGAGATCTCACGTGAAGATTTTCCTGGCCCTCGTGCATTAAGAGGGAAACTGAGGCTCAGAGAGGTGAAGCGCCTTGTGATCCCAGAATCCCTGGTTTGGGAACCTGTGTGTGGCTGTCTGGTTTGCCCCCACACTGAGCCTAGAGAGACGGAGAGCTGGCTGGGTGCCTCCCTACCCCTGTCCACCCAGACAGAGTGCTGGTGGGGACTAGACAACCAAGCTACCTTTTATTGGATTTCTGGGTAAAAACACCAACCATGTCAAGTTTCCATGCAGACCCCCAGGAAGCACAGATCCGGACCCGCCCCAGGTGGCTGGGGGAGCTCCTATCAGGATTTGAGGCGGGCTGAGCGCCGGAATGGTGGGGGCTGGGGAGCTTGGGTCGTCACCTTGCTGGGGGGTTTGGCTGTGTCCTGGATGCTGGGCTGGATGTGTGAGCGGCCGCTGGAGGTGAACAGAGCAGTCAGGGCGTTGCGGGCAGTGATGGCACACCGGCGGCTCACGGGCCTGGGGGCAGGGCTGGGGTCCTGGGCCTTCTTGTATTTCTGGACACAGAGGGTGCAGATGAGGCAGAGCCCTCCCTGCCTGGTGCACTGCCGGCCAGCAGCTGCTTCCCCAGCCCGGCGGAGGCGGCACTGGATGTGCTGTGCGACTCTGTACTGCGCTCAGCCTCCCTGGGCCGGAGCTCTGGCGCCCACAGCCTGGCCCTCAGCACCTCTCTTCCCCAGAACAAAAGGAGGAGCCCAGTCCCGCCCTTTGTGGGCAGGTCCTCCCTGTTGCGG